ATTTGGAATTTGGGAGATGTTGGGAGATTTGGAATTTGGGAGATTTGGAATTTGGGAGATTTGGAATTTGGGAGATTTGGAATTTGGGAGATTTGGAATTTGGGAGATTTGGAATTTGGGAGATTTGGAATTTGGGAGATTTGGAATTTGGGAGATTTGGAATTTGGGAGATTTGGAATTTGGGAGATTTGGAATTTGGGAGATTTGGAATTTGGGAGATTTGGAATTTGGGAGATTTGGAATTTGGGAGATTTGGAATTTGGGAGATTTGGAATTTGGGAGATTTGGAATTTGGGAAATTTGGAATTTGGGAGATGTAGAATTTGGGAGATTTAGGATTTAAACATTTAGGTATATGGAGAAATAAGGATTTGGAAATTCAGGAACTTGATCATTTAGGGATTTAGACAATTATGAATTTGGGGATTCAGGAATTTGGGACTTTAGGAACTTAAGAGTTTAGGAACTTGACAATTTAGGAATTTGGGAATTTTGAGATTTGACAAGTTAGAAATTAAACATTTTTTTAATTGGGGAATGTAGGGACTTGACAATTTATTAATTTACTAATTTGGAACCTTGAGAATTTAAGGATTTAACAAGTTAGAAATTTAGAAACTTCAAAATTGGGGAATTTAGAAATTTGACAATTAAATAGCAATGAAACAATGTTAGTCACCAGGAATTTAACAATGTCAGAGATTTAAGAATGTAGAAACTTAAAACTTAAAGACTTAAAAAATCTGAAAATTCACTGATACTGAAAATGAATGAAATTTCATAATGAATGCATTCGAATGCATTCAAAATATATTTTAAAGGTCCACGCAAGAACGTGAGCGTTTACCGCCAATAAAAACAGTTTATTCATCGTGGCATAAGCGCCCGCTAAATTTACATTCGTCCAGAAACTGGTTTCGACTACCATACCGAGATGCATCCATTATGACCATCGTCTTCTTCATCCTCCTCTTTTTTATGTAACATGTTATTGATATTCCTACGATTCACTACTACATTCTTATATCGACGTTGATTTGTGGTTCGATCAAGAAGTATATATTCGACCAATTACTTTTTAATCGTTTTGATCGGTCACAAAATTCAGCCTCTGAATTATTCAACAGTGACACCTTGAACGTAATTAACAGGTTTCAGAATATGCGACTTAAAATAAAAATGTACGGTTTAAAATAAGAATGAGGTATTTAAAATAAGAATGAATAGTTCAAAATATAAATAAGCAACTTAAAATAAAAATGAGCAATTTTAAATAAAATTGAACAGTTCAGAATAAAAATGAACATCTTAAAATAAAAATAAGCAACTTTAAATAAAAATGAGCAATTTTAAATAAAATTGAACAGTTCAAAATAAAAATGAACAACTTGAAATAAAAATGAGCATCTTAAAATAAAAATGAACAACTTAAAATAAAAATGAACAATTTCAAATAAAATTGATCAGTTCAAAATAAAAATGAGCAACTTAAAATAAAAATCAACAACTTAAAATAAAAATGAGCAACTTAAAATAAAAATGAACAATTTAAAATAAAAATGAATAGAAAAATCAACAACTTAAAATAAAAATGAGCAACTTAAAATAAAAATGAGCAACTTAAAATAAAAATGTGCAATTTTAAATAAAATTGAACACTTCAAAATAAAAATGAACAACTTAAAATAAAAATGAACAATTTCAAATAAAATTGATCAGTTCAAAATAAAAAT